TCTCACACTGAACCATAGGGTATTCCTGAGATACAGTTTGACCAACCACTGTATCACCCGATGTTTGTTCTCTCTTTCCTCTACCCGAGTGTCCCATTTCACAGTCACTTATTCAAAGGTCTTTTTACAGCTCATTCATCCCTTGAAACTGGACCGGAAACTGGCTGAGACTGACATTTCCAAGAAGTTACCAAAAAATCACCTTCACTACCTAGTAGGGGATGGAAAATGGGGAAAGAAAGTCCTGCTTTCTCTTCTCCCGGTAGAAGTGCAAGCAGATAGGTCCCCGGAGAAAGAGACCCAGGCATGGCCCTCTTGACATGAGAAGCCATTTTTGACCTAAGCCATCTTGGGATCTTTGCCTGCCCTTGAACAGGTTTCATCATCAATGGTCTTACAGGAGTGCAGAAATACAGGAACAAAGGAAAAGCAGTCAAGAAATGATATTTCAGCATTCTAGCTCCTCCTCAAGGGATCTACCTCACAAGCTGATGGCGGTCTTTGAGTTGCAGGGAGTAAGGCCCCCACTCAGACGGAGGATGGACTTATGATGTTGCCTTTCCTAAATTTAGTCAACTAAAACTTGGACTCTCTTGACCTTGGGCCCTATTCTATGCTGTGTTCTCGTCTGCTCAAGCCCCTTCATGAATATGCATATATCCTTAGCTTACAACTTCCTCAATTTTGCTGTTCAGAGACAGTGTCTAGGGGAAGAGCCCCAGTGTTCTTCTTACTTGCTGCAGGTAAATAAATCCTTCCTTCTCCCAGTCTTTCCCTTGGTTGTGTCTTTTGGCTCGACACCCACCAAGAGGTGAACCTAGTTTTTGGGTTAACAGCAGATGCCCACTAATTAGCTCAGAGATAGACAATCCATAGTGAGACAGGAAGGGGGCAGGGCACAGTCATTCATGGAATAACACAGCAATTAGCACCGAGATGGCAGAAAAGTCAACTCCCAACAGACCCTGAGGCCCAAGTCGGCGGGAGATTCGACCTGCAGGGGACCTGGGGCTTCATTACACACATTATAATGTACTAGCATGGTGAGTGACACACCCAGACACCATTACAGTTCCAGGCTAACCATGACAAGTCGGAGTGGGTGGTGGCCTAATTCCTGGGAATCCCCGCCCCTTCCCCAGGGTAGTTGGAATAATCCCCACTTGTTAGCATATAAAAACCAGCAACACAGCACCTTGAGGCCTCCAGGTTGCTCTCTTGCCTTCTGAGAAGACCTATGGAGTGTGCATCTCTCTAAATAAATCTACTTTTACTCAACTACGGCTCTCTCTTGAATTCTTTCCTGCATGAAGCCAAGGATCCTCATTTGGTGGGGTGCATCCCAGGGACTCGACACAGACCTGGGACACAGCCATCCTCTCATGCCCCATTTTCCTGTATCAATGAGACAAGCTCTTAGGAGCCTTAGGAGATACATAATTAAATCTCTATCAAAAGAATTTAGGCTTCTAGGTCATTTCATTCACTACCGGGCTAGCTTCCTGTATATAAAAGACCTAAAGGAATCATGAGAAAGATTTTCTGAAGTACCTTTCATCAACTAAAGGTAAATCCTTTAGGGAAAAACGGTGGATCCCTGTGAAGTTCACTGGGTTATAAGCCAAGGCAATGTTATTTACTGAAGAGGAAACAAAAGTAGGAGAGAGAATTATTGAGCACAAAAAGCTAACCAAGTCCACCTTTAAACTTTCATTGGGGAAAGAGGGTACAGCTCAGTGGTAGAGTGGGTGCTCAGCATGCATGAGGTCCTGGGTTCAATCCCCAGTGCCTCCACTACATACATACATAAATAAACCTAATTATCCCCCTCAAAAATAAACTGTCATTAATTTATTTAGAATTTGGGAGAACAGTGGGGGCAAATATCTTGTCCTTTGCAGTGAACACTAAAAAAGGTAAATGAATGAGTTAATGATTAGTCAAAAATAGACCTGAATGAATCATAGATTTATAATAAATAAAATTTATATATTTTCTTTAAAAATAGGCATAAATGGGATGTGATTATTCATTGATATTAAAAAAAATTTTTTTTAATGAGGAACCAGGTGAGAAAACAGAATTGATTGAAAAAATGCAAAATTCAATACTGTAATGGTGCAGGTACACGCAAGATTAGTGGGGGCAGGTCTGTATTTTACCAAGAAAGGACTTATTAAAGTGACCTATTTTAAAAAGCATTTGAATATTAACACAACACTGTTCAAACGTTGTAAAAATTACTACTTTTTCAAAGCAAAACATGCTAACACAAGCAAAAAGTGGATTTCCTGGAAACTTAAATCCACCTAAAGTAGTGTGAAGTATTTATTTATCTGCAGAATCCTTAAAACACCTTTTTGAAGCATCAAAAAAAATCTAAACCACCAGCTAGCACACAAAAATAAAGTTTCTCACAACAAACAGGTAGCTAGCTAGAGAGAATGGACAGATTTATGGATGAATAGATCAAGAGAAAAAGACTTACGTACGAAGTTTTTAAAAGAAACTGCATACAGTGTTGCTTAGGGATGTAACCTTTGTAGGAAGTTTGTTAGCACTCTTTTTTACAGGAATAAATTTGCTAGGAAACAGTCCAAGAACTTGCTCATATTCTAGATGAGCAATAAGCAACCCATACGTGGGAAGTGTGCTGATTCTCCAATAGTATTCTCTATGAATATTTTTCTTAATATAGTCCAACTATGTAAATGTTTAGAAAATTATTTTCTTACATTTAGTATTATATGCTGACAGTATATTTTTAATACCATACCATATTCATTATGGGCTCATTAAATGTTATATGAGATTGCTTTTTAAAAGAAGTTCTACATTTAAGAATGTACATTTTTGAAGGATAAAAATCATATAATCATTTCAATAGATGCAGGAAAAACATGTGACAAAATTCAACATTCATCAATGATAAAAACTCAACAAAGTGGGTACAGAGACGACATACTTGAACATAATAAAGGCCAGAAATGACAAATCCACAGCTAACATCGCACTCAGTAGTGAAAAGCTGAAGGTTTTTCCTCTAAGATCAGGAACAAGACAAGGATGCCCACTCTTCCCACCTGTATTCAACAAGTAACAGCCTCTTCAATAAATGGTGTTTTTAAAAAAAACTGGGCAGCTACATGCAAAAAAATAAAACTAGATCACGATCTTACACTATACACAAAAATTAACATTAAGTGGATTAAAGATTTGAATTTAAGACCTGACACCATAAAATTTCTAAAAGAAAACATAGGTTTTCTCGGCATGGGTCTTAGCAATTTTTTAAAAAAACCTGACTCCAAAGCTAAAGGAAACAAAAGCAAAAATAAGTAAGACTACATCAAACTAAAAAGCTTCTGCACAGCAAAGGAAACCATCAACAAAAGGAAAAGGCAACCCAAGGAATGAGAGACGGTATTAGCAAATCATATATCTAAAAAGAGGTTAATATCCAAAATATACAAAGAACTCACACAACTCAACAACCAAATAATTAAAAAACAGGCAGAGGATCTGAATAGATATTTTTCTAAAGACATACAAATTGCCAACAAGGACGTGAAAAGATGTTCAACATCACAATCACGGAAATGAAAATAAAAAGCCATAATGAGATACCTACCACCTCAGAACTGTTTACTATAGCCAAGATATCAAAACAGCCTAAGTGTCCATCAGTAAATGAATGGATAAAGATGTGTTACATATATACATTGGAATACTGGCCATAAAAGACATAGCATCTGAGACACGGATGGACCTTGAGGGTATTTTGCTAGGTGACAGACAAACACTGTATAATTTACTTATATGTGCAATCTAAAAAAACAAACAAAATAAAAGCAAACTCATAGAACAGAGAACAGACTGCTGGTTACCAGAGGCAAAAGGAATGTGGGGGAAGGTGAAATGGGTGAAGGGGATCAACTGCCTGGTGATGGAATAACTAGATTTATGGTGGTGATCACTTTTGTAGTGTATACAAACATCGATTTTCAATGTCATAAACCTAAAATTTATATGGTGTTACACACCAATCTTACCTCAATAAATAAAAAAGAATGTACCAAATGTTTTGCAGAAGCCAACAAGTAGATCCTAAAATTTATATGGAAATGCAAAAGACATGTAATAACTAAGAGTTTTGACAAAGAACAAAGTTGGAGGATTTCTTATGGATTTCAATACTTACCATAAATTTGTAATTATCAAGACAGTGTAGTGCTGGCGTAGGGACAGATACAGTTCAATAGAACAGAATTCTGAGTCCTAAAACCCTTCTAATAAGGTCAATAAATTATCATCAAAGGTGCCAAGGCAGTTATTTGGGGAAAGGCTAGCCAGGTGTTGGCTATCCACGTAACTCTGTTCCATTTCCCATCTTCATTCAGAATTGTACTGCATAATTACACTGCATACCCAATGTTATCACAGAATGAGTACTTTACTCGTACTTCTAAGTTTTATACTACATGTATTTACATGTATTCTGGGCGGCACCTTTTCTACACATTTCACTGCCTCCACAAAGGGTTTATTCTTTGAGTAGCAGCCTAAAGAGGTTCCTATAAAGTTATGATTCACTGAAGACTAGTCATTAATAGTTATTAAGCACGCAACAGGTGTTATGACACTGTATTTGGCAATATATTCTTCTAACCCTAATATCTTATTTAAGGGTAATATTTCCACTTTAAAATGTCTGTTAACCAGTTAACTAGCTTTCTGCCTGGCCGCTAGCAAGGCTTAAAAATCCTGCTGCGTGAACACTTGACAAAACAACTTTGTAAGTTGACTAACGTTTGAAATAAAGATAAAATAGGTTTATAAAGTTAAACCCAAAATACAGCATCAGCATGTGGTAGCTTTCGACTACCTACTTTTTCAAGTGCAAAATAATGGGTTATCTCCTACATGTCTTTCAGGGTGAGTTACGTGAGTTAAATGTTACCATGTTTGCCTCTAGACAAAATTTTAATTAGACACACAAGTAGGAGAAAACCACGTTTAATTGAAAAATAAAGCAATACATCTCAAATAAGATTCTGTTTAACAACATAAACTGTAATTTGTTGAGGGTAATAGCTTTCCTAAAAGTATTATGAAATTTAGGTAGAGTTATCAATACAGTTTCCCTCCCTTATCCTAACTCAGCTATATGCATATTAAAAACAAGGAATTTCTCATGAATTTAAACTATCTGTAAAGGCAATCCCTACTCCTAATTCATTGACAAAAGGATGGGAGGTTTTAAACAAACATTTGCATACTGAGGAGTTCCCAAATAACAGCAAATAAAGTCAGTATTTTCCTTATGAAAAAACATCTATGAAAGACACACGACTATTAATGATATTTAACTAATCCACAAACTTCAAAACACAATTTCATCAAGATGATCCCTACAAATTTCCTTTAAAGAAGTTCTCAGATCTCAGAATGGTTTTAACTTGACATACTGGAAGTACTAAATTTTGAAAGAAAGTACTAAAGTTATTGCTTTAAACTGGAAAACCTTGACCTATGGTCAAGTCTTTAAAAAGAGTTTGTTAAACAGCTATCCTTACAATTACACTCACGTAACTGCAGAGAAATGTTCAAGCACATAGTAAACATCACTATTTTGAATGACAAAACCAAGGCATATGTTCACATGTATGGCTTTTTTGGTGACTGTTATTACTACCCATAAATAAAGTCATTACTGTTTGACTGAAAAAGGTTTTTACAAAACTCCACTTTCAAAATTAACATTTTTTATTAAATCAAGTTTAAAAAATGTTCACTGTAGAAAAGTCAACAAGGGTTTTAACAAAACCAAAATATACCTTTTTATACAATATATGTATATATTAGCAGCAAACTACTTCTGAGATTTTCTTTTGTTTAGTTATTTATTTCAAAGAAAGAATAAACAATGTATATTAGTATGGAATGTCAGCTAATCCACCTTTCAACTTTTATTCTGGGATTTGGACCTTCTAGTACAAGTTATTTTGTTTCTCAATGAATACTAAAAACAAACCCAGTTCTGACTAAAAAGCAGTGAGACAGAATGGCTGGTAGAACCTGTCCCATTACTGCAGTCATACATTATCTCTAAGATAACAAGTGAGCACCATATGAACAGGTAATTGTGTCGGTGTGTAAACTCAATTTTTAAGGTATAACAGTAGCCAACTGGACGACTTAGCGTGTTACTACACTTTTTAAAAATTTGGTGATATACAAAATTTTAATCCAACCAGATATTTACTTCAATCCTATATTGCTTGTCCATTTAAAAAATCTTACTAGAAATTCTGTATATGACCTTACAGCTGCATGCATACTTGTGTGTGTGTGTATACACATACAAAAGTGTATGTATATACACATAAACATCTTTAGCTTCGAATGAATTCCTAAACTGAGATGAAGTCAAATCTCTCATCTAAATATATATGTAGAATGTAATATCACTAACTGAAAGCTTAGTTTCATCTTAGCTAACCAGAAACTCTAGCAACTGAAAATTCAGAGGCCAAAGAGCTGTAACTCAGCTCACTGTACTTTAGGCTTAAAAATTATTTAGCCAAACAAAAAAGTTTTGAAATTATCTACTGCCCATCAAAGTAAAATTTTTCTCTTGATACTTCCTTCTAATAGTAAAAAGGAAATATCTATACAATGAGCTTTTACTTTTAAAGAGTTAAAATTATTAAAGAAATCTCACTAGTCTTCAAAAATACTAAACGTTATATAAATACAATTTTCTTATAGTTCAATTCTTCGGCTAGAATCTGTATTAAAAAAGTTTCCTTTGGATTGTTTTGTTTAGCACTTCAAGTCTCCATTCTGCAACTCAGAAAACTGGCTCAGATTTGTTAGGTTTATATCCAACGCATCTTTCAGAATTTGGTATTGTGTTACCTGTGCACAATAATATCAGTGGGAGGAACTGCACCAAATTTCAAAAGCAACGTAAGGTAAAATTCAAGAATATGTAATACAGAAAAGGTTAAGTACAACAAGGATTCCCTTTTCACCATTACATTAATGAAATACAATCCTTTTACTGCTTTTAAAGATAATGTCCTAACTTTCATTTCTTAACTTATCAAGAGGATGAAGTTTTTAGATGGCCCACCTTTATTTTTCAACTGAAAAACTAAAACAACACACTGAATTACTTTTATTAATATACATATCAAGTTACTGAAACGGTGACTTCATGTAGTTTTCTCCTTAAAGATGGCACTTGCAGGTACAAAGATGCAGAGATGTTTACAGCCTTCAGATGTTTACTTGAAAAGATTCTTCAACAGCAGTTTGATATTGGGTTTCCTCATCTAGCTGAAGATTCTAAAAACAGTAACATTAACATGTCAATAGGAAAAACATACTCAATTACTCAATACTTTACCCAATAACTTACATATCTTGATTCACATTACATATACTTCAATTTGTTACATTATATACTATCCTTTAAAATACAAGAAATTAAAGACCTGAACTTTAATAAAAAATTAAGCTCAGCTATAATTATTTAGCAATAACTGATAAACCAGAAAGGTCAGCAGAGCATGAAATGTGAGAGTTACAGTGCCTCATGATAAATCATTAGCTGGAAGTAGTATAGCAAAGAGTAACCCACAATCAGAAATGATAAATTTTGTGTCATCTCTAGAAAAGAATGCCAAATAGTCTGAAGGTAAATTCATTTTAAAGAAAATAAGCATTTATTACATTAAAAGAGTTGAATTAACAATGTCTTAATCACTACATAAAGCTACAAACTAAAGCTCACTCAATCTGGTTGTACTACTACTCCTTAGCTTAAAAAATTCTGTTTTCTTTCAATTAGGTCCATGGATTTGCTTTAAGATAGACCTCCACTGGACAATCTCAAATAATTAAAATTACATATTCATCTGTGGCAAGGTAAAGCAATCTGACAATTGGATTAAAAGTGGTTCACAAAATATGTTTTATTTTTCCAAATACATAGTTCTGTTCTTACAGTGAGAATTTAAGAATAATCTACAATTATGTCACAAAAATGATAAAATGAGTAAATCTGAATTTTACATACATTTGAACTATTTTTAAGTAGTATGACTAAAAATGCAAATTACACTATCAAGAATGGTATAATTTCAACACTGGAGAGCAAAGAAAATGTAAATTGTTTATGCTGTTGTTAGATTTGCCTGTGCTAAATTAAACTGGGAAACAAGTATGAACCACTCTTTGTCAGGATTAATCTTGAATTAGACAAGGTTTTAATTCACTGAAGATAAACAAAAAGATGCAATTTCCCAGTTAATAAAACAGAAGTCATCTTTTTAATTATCATGACACATTTGGGAAGTAGGTATTAAGCTCATGCTTTGCCAAAGATAACCTATATTATACAAACAATAGAACATGCTCTGTAACCATCCAGTATGATATAGTATCTCTCCTCAAAACTCAACTGTAGATTGAAAAAGTTAGTTTAACTTTAATATTTAAATGGTATTTTCTTACTTAATCTTGAAAAATTCACTTACCACAAATTCTCCATAATCAAACTGATGTCTTTGATTTAGATGACTAACGAAATTTCTGGTAATCTGGCTAGGATCTCCCCAAGGAAGAGACACACAAATAGGACATGTCTATGAGAAACAGAATGTTTTAAATAGAAGATAATGAAAATAATCAAACACTGTAATTATTGAAAGTATTAAAATAACATGGGTTTATGTTACCGAAAACATCTACATAAATGCATTTTCTAAGGGCCAAATTTCATGACTAGAGAATTTCTAGACCAAATTACCTTAGAGAAATCACACTAATAAAACACAACACAATAAAAAGAGCGATCTTACATATTCTTCTTCTTAAATCTGATTATTATATTGTTTCAACAGAAACATCACATCCAGCCTTTACCAACTATAATGATAATTATCATTAACCAGTATGTAATCTCATTAGAGCCACACAATAACTGTGATTAGCTTAATTTCATTTAGAAGTAAAAGAAGCTTTAAATTGTGTCCTTAAGGTTTCAAATGAAGTACATATTAAAAAGTAAATGGATTACAGACTGAAATGAAATAACAGAACTTTACTGACTATATCAGAAGTCTGTGCTATACTGAATAATGCCATGTAACAAATGAAATCTCTTAAATATGAGATTTCTCCTGGAGATGTCTCTGGCACTGCATATATTTATTTAACAGTAACTGACCCTCTCCCAATGAGCAAGGTATACGAGAATTTAAGGGCATACTGAGGCACATTCTTCCACGACTTTTTCTAGCACATCCACTTAAACTGCTTAGATTTATCCACAACCCTTATTTTATCTGCAACATGTGCCTTCTAATTTCTGAAGAAAATATTTATACATCAAAATGGGAAGTATCTCGGGGGGAGGGTATAGCTCAGTGGTAGAGCACATGCTTAGCACGCATGAGGTCGTGGGTTCAATCCCCAGTGCCTCCACATTCCAAAAAATGGGGGGGTAGGGAGTATCTCTACCAGCTCAGTTTCTCCTGTTCCATCCACAGTTGAAATTGGAACCCACGTTCCAAAACAGGAGTTGTAGGACCATTAACCAACCTTGGAATCCTGCACTCTGCTTATCTTCCTCAATCATCCAACAGGTCTTACCACTTTCTTACACACCCTCAAACTGGCATCAAAAATAAAAGTAAGACTCTTTTCCTTCCTTGCTTTATGCACTCATATACTAGATTCTTCAAGAATATAATTTAAAATATCTACTGACTTTATTCTTACTCATAGGTGTTTTCACCTACTGCAGATTCCCTGACCAGATACAGGCTACCTGCATCCTACAGACCAAGAGACTAAGAGGCCCCAAGAGAGTCCGGTTTCTGCCACTCCTCAGAAAGGAGTCCCCAGTCCAGCTTTCCTTACTTCGCTCTTTTCCAGGATATTCTCTTACTTTACTCTCACAAAAAGCATCTCCCTTTTTATAAGTTAGTTACTGGAATTTTAAACACCTTATTTTGCTCCACAGTTATCAGTCTTTTGTTGACAAAATCTACTTTACTGATAATGCCCCATCCAAACTTAAATCAACTACTTTCCCTTGTACACATGAAGTGAAAAAATGGAACAGCATACCTTAAACAGAATCTTAAACATACGTACTTACCACAGGGACTATCTGAAACAGGTGGTTACTGTTACAGTGATCCAGTAAACGCTGTCTGGTAAAATTTGACTCTTGACACAAGGGACACTTAAAGGTGGGATGTCCAGAAGAGCTACAGAAAAATTTTAAATGAAGCATACTGAATTTGAAATCGTAACATGAAAATGATGCTCTCCTATTTTTTGAACTATTACTTTTAAAAAGTTATAATTATTAGACTAATCAAAGATTCTCTCATTTGGGAAAAAAACCATGTTTTCAATAAATAATCTACAACAGACGTTCCCAAACAGCATCAGTTTACAGTACCCTTAGTGTCAGTAAGTTTTTTCATGGTGTTCCTAGGCCTAAACAAACAAAAAAACCTGGTTGTTCTATTTATTAAGTAATTAGGGTCAAACAACTTAATTTAGTCATTTCTGTAACCAACAGATGTCAGTGTATGTTCCTTGAAATTTTTAAATATCCCGTGGTGTCCCAGGTTTGCAAACAGCATATCTAGAAAATTAAAACTTTTAAAAGATTCCCATCAATATGGTATCTTTAATTATCCTAGTTACTAGGAATCTAACATACAAAATTCATAGGAAAAGTGAAAAACAAAAGTATCAATCATCAGAATGATCAACATCTCAAAACATTTTGAGGATCATGCATCACTGAGATTTAATACCTCTGAGTTTCAGCAAGGGACAGTTCAATACTGACAATTCTACCTGAATTATTTATGGAAGAAACCCGACCACAGTGAAAGAGGAGAGCTAAACTCCTCTAATTTAATGTGATCTGTAAAAGCAGCAACTGCATCATTTAGATCTAAACTGCTAACTTCTAGTTTGTCTGATGATTTAACTGAATTTTAAAAATTTAATTTAAAAATCCATTATTATAAAGTGACAGGTATTATTTACTAAAGTAGAAGAATTTTCAAAAGCTTACCTTGTATTCTCTTGATAAGCTTCTGTGTTATCAGATGTGGATGTTTCACTCCTATTACTTAAGAAGCACGGGGTAGGGGTACAAGTTAATACCTCAAGTAATAAAGCACAATACAGATTCATTAACTCAAATTGTAATGAAGACAACTACTCTGAATTTGTTTAAAAAGCCTGAACTTCAAGTAGTTCTGAACTATGATGTAATTATGACATTAATTAACTTTTCAAATAAATTCTGATAAGAAGATTGCTTATGAGGTCCTTATTCACAGCCTTTAAAATTAATTTATGCCCAGTAACAAAAGTATAGAGGATACAGAATTTTGTAGAATTATCTTAAATCCACAGCATGAATATTTCCCCAGGTCTTTCAGACTTTCAAATTAAGAGACTACTTTACTTAAAACCAGACTACTAATTTTTGAATGCTGGGGTAGAACCAAGAACTTGTGAACTTTTTGACTTCTAACTAGGATACAGTTAAAGGTTGTAGCCTCCAAAATGGAGTAGGTTAAGAAAATATTTGAATGTTCATTATGTTTATACTTCCCCCAAAGGAACTAGGCTTTCCAACATTTAATATACAGAATAATTTGATGTCCTCCCTAGAACCCCATGCCAAAATTATATGTCGTATGCAGCATTAGAGGAATCCTGAGGGAAAAGTGGGCATTCCATATGGGGACTGTCACTTATGCATTACAGAATTTCATCAATGTAGTCAATTTTATAACAAGGCCTTCCAATAGCAGAAACATTAAAATAAAAATGAGATAGGCAATGGACAGAAAGTTTGTACCACACAGAGCTTTGCTCTTACATCTCAATACCAGAGTTAAAAGAGCTGTGAAACTTAAAAACCAATTATTCATTTTTTTTACAAAAATCGATTATTCATTTCTTTTACAGACAAGCAGTACTGTATCATCTACCTAAGAGATGTGCACCAGTGACACTCACTTCCCTTCTATGACAATGTTATGTCTCCACACGTAATTTTATGCAAGTAAGCTTTCCTTATTCCATACCCAAATAGGAGACTATTAAACCATTATTTTGCACATTTTTGTCAGATAATAACTTGTCTCTGCAAGTAAAGTGATATTTTAACAATGTAGAGACTAAAAACCGCTTTTTAAAATAAATTCAAACAATGGAGAGTGCATTTATTAAAGGGATATTATGACTATTACCAAAACAGTATCATCTGTTTTTTAAAATTTCTTATCTATACACTGAAACATGGTAACAGATTTTTCTAATCAGTTTTTAAATCTTCCGAATAAATACCACCATTGGGTTTGAACATGCCCTTATAAAGCAGTATAACAACTTCCAGTTGGTTTGTAAGAACAACTAAAACATCATCAGGGAGGATGACAATTTTAACAAAAGTCTTTTTGATATTTATCGAATGGGACTGAAAAATTTAGGAATCTCAACCTCTGACAGCTTCCATTTCGATCTATATTTTGTATATTATGTAGGTATCTTTTTCAGCCATGACAGTCATCAAGACCAAGTATCAAAGTAAAGTAAATTTAGATCCAAATCTTTAAATTACTGTCACTGTGTTAAACCAAGATTTTAAGAAACTTTAGAAACCACAGTCAACAATACTGTTTTCAATGAAAACAGTAATAAAAGTTAAAGAATGAAAATATTTTATACCACTAAGTACAGCAAAAAAAATTTTTTTTGGTCTGCATCCATTTTACGTAAGCCAAATCTTTTTAAGACTGACAAAGTTCATAACATTTTGTAACAAAGACAAAGGAATACCACTGACTGACAGCACAATCATAAGGCATTTTTTTTTAATGAAAGAGATACCATATTTCTAGGTGGGAAAAATCAGGATCATATGATAGCAATTTTCTCCAAATTAATTTATGATTTCAATAAATTCAACTTTTAAAATGCTCCTGATAAAAATCTCTACAGGAATTTTTGGGAAACTCAAAAGTCTGATACCAAAATTCATATGGAATAGCAAAGGGCCAAGAATAGCAGAAACAATTTTTGAAGTAAAACAAGAGGGAGAATTTTCCCTAACATTAAGACCTATTGTTAAAGTCACAGTAATTAAAACAGCATGGTACTAGAGAATAAATGAAGCAATAGAACAGAATAGAGACATATAGGACCAAAATGGCATTATAAATCAGTGGGGAAAGAATGGACACCTCAATGAATGGCACTGAGACAGATGCTTATCACATGGGGGAAATTCCTCCCACCTCACATTATACATCCAAAATAAATGTGGGAAGAACAGCTTTAAAATGTTAAAGAAAATATCTTCTATAACTTTATAATGTGGGAAAGAATTTCTCAAGCATGACACAAAAAGCAAAAAGCATAAATAAAAAATATATATAAATATATAATACCACTGTATGTCAAAAGACACAGTAAGACTAGCCAAAGACTGATCAAAGATATTTGCAATCAGGCAATGAAAGCAAAAATAGGAGGAACTGCATCAAACTAAAAAGCTTCTACACAGCAATGGAAACAATCAATAGAGTGAAAAGGCAACACATGGGATGGAAGAATGTATTTGCAAACCGTAAGATCTCTGAAATACATAAGGAACTCCTACAACTCAACAGCAAAGAAACTAATGACCCAACTACAAAATGGGCTAAAAATTTGAATAGACACTTCTCCAAAGATGATACACAAATGGCCAACAGGTATATAAAAAGACTCTGAATGCCACTACATCAGGAAAATGTAAATCAAAATGACAACGAAATATCAACTCACATCTATTATGATAGCTATTCTTAAAAAAACAAAATGAGGATATGGGGAAACTGGAACCTTTGTACACTGCTGGTGAGAATGCAAAATGATGCAGTCGCTATGGAAAATAGTCATAGGAAAGTTCCTCAAAAAAATAAAAAATAGAACTACCATATGATCTAGCAATTCCACTTCTGCGTATTTATCAAAAATAACTGAACTTCGGATCTTGAAGAAATAGCACTTCCATGTTCACTGCAGCACTATTCACAATGGCCAAAATACAGAAAAAATCTTGTGAAAGGATAAAGAAAAAGGTGTGAATGAACAAAGAAAATGTGCAAAAAGAAAACATACATGCAATGGAATATTATCCAATCTTAAAAGAAAAGAAAATCCGCAAACGTGGTAACATAAATGAACCCTGAAGACATTATGCTAAGTTGAATAAGCCAGTTACAGGACAAACATACTGCATGATTCCACTTATATGAGGTACCTAATAGTCAAGCTCACAGAATCAAAGCATAGAATGGTGGCTGCCAGGGGCTGGGGAGAGGGAAATGGGAGTTGCTAATCAACATGTAGAAAATTTCAGTTATACAAGATAAATTCTAGAGATCCGCTGTACAACACTGTGCCTATAAACAACAATACTATATACTTAAAAATCTGTTAAGAGGGGAGATCTCATGTTAAATATCCTTACCACAATTCAAAAGAAAAAAAACAACTGTGCATGACTATGTCATTTTATGCTGTGGTATTCTAGAAAGCAGTTTTTAAAATACTAGCATATCTCATTTCTAGTTTTTTTAAAATATGAAGAAAAAACTCAAGTTCTATGTCTACATGTTTCACAAAACAGCAAAAAAAATTGTTTTTAATTCTTTGGGAAAAAATGTAAATATATTTGTACTGTACATAATAAAGAATTATTATCCAGAATATATCATGAATGCCTGTAAGTAAGGAAAAAAACATTTTATCTAATACTTACACCAGACTTCTTAATAAACAGTTACTTAGCCACTTAAAATGTTCAACATCTTGGAGAAACTGTTAGGAACATAAAACTATTTGCAACTTTCATTCTTTCAGTCTTTGTGAAGAGTTGTATTTGGACTAAACTGTTATGAGCCTACTGACATTCAGTTATTAATGTTTATAAAGAGTCAAGATTACATGAAAAGCCTGCAAACAGATCAAATAACTTCCAAGGAAGGTAAAACAGACGTGTGCTCTGGTATCTTAATGATTACATGCAACCTCCCTCTCCTCCTCCTCTTTCCTAGTAGCTAGGAACAGAAAGACACAGTCTCACATGTTAAAAGCAGGATTTTAATTGTTATGAACTAGAAATGGCCTCAGTAAAATAACCAGCACTGCTACATAATTTTTATAAAAAACTACCCCATACCAGTTTCATTAAACATCCACCAACATTTATTGGTTTACTGTAAATAGTTTTACCCTGACTGATCTGACTGAAACTGGTGCTGGTTTATTTCGGATGACTCAACCGGAAGCTACAGTGCTTACAGATGGAAAAGCGGACTGCATATGCCTTACCCATTCCTGTATATTCATTAACATGTAGAGTGTGCCCAGTAGTTCAGAAGGCGCACTAAATGTATGTTGAATTAATGAAATGATCTAAGGGTTTTATTCTGATTTTTTTTTTTTTTACTACTGATAGGGGCATGCAAATACCATTTTAAGAATTTCCATAGCCACAGAGTTCAGAATTTAAATCACCCATTTGTATTTATAAGGGAATACTGTGAACTGTATTCTAAGAAAACATGGGCTCTACTCTGAGGTAGTCCCTGGACTTTAATAAAGCAATGAATTTTCATAAAATGCCACCAAATCCTGCTCAGCTAACTATTATTAACTATATGGACCTGTTTTCTTTTTTAACATTTTTTTATTGAGTTATATATGGACCTGCTCTAAATAAGCAATATAAAATAAATCTGCTCCCCAGATACATGACAAAGAGTAGAACCCTAAATTCTCCCAACTGAATGCTTATTAAAAGCTTAACTGCCAGAAATAATATTCACGGAGAACTGCCCGAATGTACAGAACCACCATACCTAGATTAAGCCAGATTATCGGAGAAAAGCCCCTGGAAGAAAAGCTTTAATAAACTGCAATAAAACACTGCGATAGCCTACACTGAAAGTCTTTGAAGTACAGCCCTATGTAACTCGTTCTGTGTTTAACCACAGGAAAGATGACGTTTTTACTGTGTTCATTTCTTCCTTTAAGGACCTATGGGCAAAGCTTCAGTACCCTCTCTTTTAGTATCAGGAATAGCTGTGTTTCTCTTTAGGAACTATTTGGTTTACAGTATCACAGATACTGTTAATAACAGTGGGTGTTTTCTTCTCTGTACTAACTACTTGGAAGCTGTGAAGCACAGTGTCTGGAATATTACAGTACATCTGGGTATCTTTTGTCCCTCTAGATCTCTTGTCCTTCTATTTTTCACCATGCTCTGTGTACTGAGAAACTAACCTTCATCAACAGGTTCCCTTCTCTACTTCCTAGACGGGTTCAGCCCAGCAGGAAATTTAGAGGAAGTAACAAGAGGGAGGTCAGGATACTTATTTCCCAGACTCATTCCCAGCAAGACTGCCTTGACTGGTTGCATCGCTCTTCAACTGCCCTCTCCACACAGCTTTCTTTCTCCAAGTTCTGGTGTCTACTTTCTCCCCTCCCCTCCTTTACACAGACCAGACTATATCACTATTCCTTGTGACTTTCTATACCCTGCTTACATAGTGCACCCAATACTCTACTCTTTAAAAATAGTCCCTTCACTAAGTTCTCGTCAAATTATCTAATTTGAGCACAGTATCTGTTTCCTCCCAGGATCCTGACTATACTCTGCCTTCATATCTTATATTTCCTACTCTTTTTAAAAAAATCTTCTTTTCCTCCTTCAACAATTTCCTTACCAGAAATTCATATACAAACTCAATTTTTCCATCGCAATTAGAATTTTGCATAGGATATAAACACGATCAAGACTAGGGAGCCTATTCTAGATAAAAAAGACAAGTAAACAGAAAAGACTTCAGAATAGCTAGTACTTGGTCTACGTCTTCAAAGAGAAGGAAAAATCCACTAGCTGCCAAAGTGTGAGTTGGAATGGTGGAGAAAATATGGAGGTGAGGAAATGATGATGATGATGATGATAATAAAAAACTAACATTTACCAAGTAAGGTACTATTCAATATGCTTTACCTGTATTTACCTATATATTGACTCCCAACCCAATGAGGTATTAATAGTATCATCACTATCCCCTCCCTTCTTTTAAATAAAGGAGAAAACTAAAGTACAGTTTTTGCCAAAGTCATACAATCAGTAAATGAAAGAGCCTGGTACCCAGGCAGTCTGGCTCCAAGCCTTCATTTTTAACAACTAAGCTATATTGTTTCTCTAGGATGGCAAGGATATGGTAGGAATAATTCAACATGGCTAAGACATACGATCCAACGATGGGTAGCCAAGAAATACAATGGCTAAAAAGAAAGGCAAGTGCCAGATCAGAAAAGGCTTTATAATTAAGTAATTTTGTCTTATTAAGCTGGTTGTTCAATTAGAGCATGGAACTCCTTGAGAATCTTGACATCCTCTCTCAAGAAAAATGCACATATAGTATACACAAAAAAATCAGGCAGTTTAGGTAGTTCACAGAACTCTGACTGGCCCAACTCAGAATGCAACAGAAAGTCACTGACAAGATACAAAAAGGAAGGTATAAGGACAAGGAAAAAGAGGTCAAAATTGCACTTCTGAAATATCACTTTGGAAATCGTATATAGGACAGATTGAAGGAGGACCACCAACTAAAAGAATACTGCAATAATTCAAGTCAGAGAAGATGGGGACTTGAGCGAGGAAGTGACAACAGGGATAGAAGAAAGCACAGATGAGGAATACTGCTATTGGGAACAACAGTACCTATGACCTATTGGATCTGAGAAGTAAGAGGGAAGAAGGCACGTCTCATGAGAAGAAACTGAGTCATTTAAAAAGCAGTGATTGCCCAAATCATATATACTAGGAACTTTGCTAAGAGCTGGAGACACAGTTGTTGAACAAGACAAACATCATCCCTGCACTTCAGAATAATCTGTTGGGTTAATAACAAATTGTTGAGTAATTTCAATACAGTACAAGACAATAATGAAAAAAAAAAGCACAAGGGATGAATCTAAGAGAACTTAAAAAAATCACAAGATAGGAGTAACCAATTTTATCCAATAACAGAGTCAAATAAAACAAGAACTTAAAAGAATTTTGCAGGCTAGGCAATCAGAAAATTACTAAAGACCTTTACCAAATTCAACTGAAGAGTAGAGAAGATGCCTGACTGCAGTATACGTGCTTAAGAGTGGTTAAATTACTGAAAATTAGCAACATGTGAAATGAAATGCTACTAAAACAAAATCTTAAGAGACTGCTTAACATATTGTCTCCCGGGAGCCATTCTATATTACTGCCACTGCTGCCTTTCTTTACACAATTTTGTGTGTGCTTCCTTATCAACTTTTTAAAAATTAAACATTTCCTTTTTTAGAGATACATGTATTGGTGGTAATACTATAAAGGAAAGCTAAAGAAAGAATAATCCAAAAAAGAGGATAATGGCTACTTCTGGGAACATGGGGTTCATACGGGCATGAGATCACAAGGAGATTCTGAGGTCCTGAAAAATATTCTATTTTTTGACCTAGTTGGTGGGAACTGGGTATTTGTTTTATCACTATTTTTTAAGCCACACATATGTACTCTGGCCATTCTTCTGTGTAAAATACATTTAATAAAAACATTTAATATATATAAACCTGAGATAAAAAGATACAAACCAAGCCAAAATCTAGCTTTAAAAGAACTGAGACTAAAACAGAACTAAGAATTTAGTAGTACCAAGTCTCACTTTTACATGACATTTTATCAAAATAAAAATTTCAAACAATTATCCCTTACAGAGTAAAAAAGGTTCTAGTTTGCAAATACATTATGGGAAGGGATTTTCTCTAGTTTTTCAAGTAATTTCAGCTGCAAAAGAAAATGCCTTCAACTCACAAATCTATTTTTTTATTCGGATTATTCGGACATGTAAATTTTCTTAGAATGATTTTTAAGTAACATCAATCTCCCAGATGCAATTTTACATGCATCAAACAAACTTAGGAAGATAAATGAAGGCAATTTACTTTAAAAACACAAACACACATAAACAAAACAAAAACACCTTATCATACAGTCCCTCCCAAATTTCCATTTCAACTATAAAAATTTTCTTTTTAAGAATAAATATTGCTTACCTGTTCCCTACTGAATCTTGAGAGATCTGAAAGTTTGGAATGATAGAGGAAACACCATACTCATCTTGATACTTCTTACAAGATTTGTAATGATGTCTCATGCGATAAAATTTAATCTGTAAATTATTGATTAAAATGTAATGTGACTTTCAAAAGAACAAATATTACATGATTCTATTTATATGAGGTACACAGAGTAGGGAAACTCATAGAGACAGAAAGTAGAATATAGGTTACTAGAAAGGACATGGTAACGGTAAGTTACAGTTTAACCAGTAGTACACTTTCTGTCTGGGATGATGAAAAAACTCTGGAAATGGATAGTGGTGATTATTACACAATGTTGTGAATGTACTTAACGCCACTGTATTGTTATTGTGTACTTAAAAACAGTTAAAATGGTACATTTTATAGCATATATATATATTTTATCATAATAAAAAGTCACAAAAATATATTAAAATTTTTTTAACTTTTAATTTAAAATGGAACTCATAAGTCTTGAAATATTGTCAACAAAAGGAAAAAATAAGATAACTACATATTCCATTTAAATAAGAGTTTTTTTAAGTAAATGATTTAGTTCTTGAGTAGGAGCTGAAAATAAGTGGTAAGTTTCTATTCATTAAATGCAGAGACAATGGAGATGAGTCCAACTATCTGTAAACTCACTGAAAATTAACAAATAATTTTACACTTAGAACAAAAAATACTAATAATAGACAAAAAATTAAAGTATTAAGAGGTTTCCCCATGGCACTAGGCATCCTTTTATTCCTCAACTATGGCAACCTGACAAATTTAGGAAGTGCTTAAAAACACTAAGTTCCCAAGTTAACACTTGGAACATTTTTCAGTTTCTCTCTGAGGGGTAGAGCCGGAATCTCTCAAGTGTATTTTCCAGTTTCACTTCATTGCCCTTGTCAGTTAACATCACCCTCAACAAGATGGAAAAGCAGGTATGCCTCGTGTGAATACATGAAATAGCAATTGGTTTTGCTCATTGACTCTATGATGTTTGAAAGCCTAACGACTTCTCACCATTTCACTCCGTCTCCAAATGATAGAATAAAATCCAGATTGGAGAATTAATGCCAGTTATTTGCCAATACATAATTTTCCCACTTGTTCCTTAAAAAGTAAGTAAAGTCTTCTTCAAATATTTTGTAATTTCTTAGATAAACACATAAAGCACAGCAGGCAGTTAGAAAATTCCTCGTGGCTACATAAATCCACCTGGTCCATTTCTACATGCAGAATTGCAACGATGCTACCACAAGAAAAAAATACTTGGGGGTTGAATCTGTACCAGGATAGGGTTTAAGTGAGTTAAATGCCAGTTTGTTCATTTAGTTCATTTAGTAGGTAATCAATGAGCGATTATTTTGAAAAAAAAAATACTACACTAAAATTTATGGCAAAATCAGACATTTATCTTCCAGTCTCTATTCTCAATAAGTTTATAATCTAGTAAGATCTACAGCCACAGCTTTTCTGGCCTTTTCTACCCAGTTCCCAACCTAAATACAGTACCCATCAAGAAAAGTCAAACAGGAATTTCAGAGTAAAAACTTAACTTTCAAAGAAGAACGATGTCACATTTACTCTACCTGTTTTGCACAGCATCTGCAGCTACCAGAAAACTTCCTCATGATATTCTCAAGGTCTAAGGCCCGTTCAGGACACGCTCTCTCTCTTCTCGTCACATTTCCACGACAGAGGGGACAATGTATTCCACTTTCTCTCATTGCAGTCAGGAAACATTTTCTACAGAAACTAAACCAAACATTTGTGACATGTTAACTACTGAAAAAAATATTCTTTTCATTTTGGTGATTAAACACAAGCAGTTATGCATATGTAATCATGCTAAACAAGTTAGGCTATTTCTATGTCCATGAGGCTAGAATTTTAAAAAAGCATAATGTATTTCTCAGCAGAAGACTAATGACTGGACTAGATCGGAATATAAAAGACTGTTTTACAACTTTTAACATAATATAAGAAAAATAAATAATATATAACATTATCAGAGGAAGCATGGTACAAAGGAACGACTGGATCTCATCCTGACTGTGTTATTTAGCAGCTGTGTGATGTCAGGCAACACACTTAACCACAATGGACTTCCATTTCCTCCCTTTATAAAATGAGAGAATGGACCACACATCGGCTTTTGTCTCAAATTGAGGTACTTCAAGATGTTGTTCCATAAAATATGAACAGGTCTCCTACAGAACAGCATCCAAATTGATTTTGAAAATTTAAGGATTATTCCAAGTTACTAAAGTTTCTCTGATAAAGAAAACAAGTGTTGCCCAAATTTCTGTAATTCCCCCAACAGTGTGCAGTGGAACATAATGAGAAATACTTAAGAATCCTTCCAGCTTTAAATACCTATAACCAACATTCTAATTGCAACCAAACTCACCAAAGTCTTTATTTTTCTCCCCTAACCCAAACAAATACCAAATGTGATCACCCAGCTTTCAGAAAAATTGGATAAATCATAGCCATCTATACCTGGAATCTAGAATAAAAATACATTTAATACAAACCCCTATAAATATATCAATCTTCCACATCTATACTAACAAAAATTGAGCGGTAATAATGTAATAACACATCACAGAATCTGAATTTCCTATCTGTGTAGCACTGAACAAGTAACTTTTCTCCGTTAAATCAGTTTCCTCACCCATATGATAATAAAAGTATCTATACTTGATAGGGTTGTTCAGAGAATTAAAATAAGTAATGTAGTAAAATGCTTATTACAGTATTTTTGACAGGAAAGTGCTCAATAGTAGCTAGTATCACTAAAGTAGCATTAGAAGTGATTATCAATACATTAAAACATTAAAAATATTCAGGGCAGGGATACCTCAAGCAGTAGAGCGCATGCTTAGCATGCACGGGGTCCTGGGTTCAATCCCCATTACCTCGTCTAAATAAACAAACAAACAAATCTAGTTACCTCCCCCCCACCAAAAAAAAAAAACACACCTAAAAAAAAATCTAAAAAAAAGATTTTCTAAAAAAAAAACCCACAAAAAAATTTAAAATATTCATCATAACAAAGAGTTAAAGAAATGCAAAGTAAACAAGACATAGATACCTTTTACCATTGTCAAAAAACTAATTTAAAATAATAATAATAATAACTAGTGCTAAAGGATATAAAGAAGTGAGTACACTATATTTCTGAATAGCAATCAGTCAACACTCAACAAAATCCTTAGTGTCCCAAAACTCTGAATACCACTTTGAGTTTTAATAACTTTAGAAGTATAAATACTACAAAGTTACAAAAATCATCATCTATAAGTTTAATTGTTTAAATTAAAAACTGAAAGTCAGGGGTCGGGTATAGCTCAGTAGCTAAATGTAAAACATTTTGGAAAAACTTTTAGAAAAATATAGGAGAAAATATTCACAACACAGAGCCATACAGAGTTCTCAGACAACATTAAAAGCACATTCCATAAAAGGAAAATTTGATAAGGAGGACTTCATAAAAATTTTAAATGTTTGCCATGCAAAAGACTGTTAAAAAGACAAAAAGACAAATCAAAGATTGGAAAAAAGTATGTGTAAATCATGTATCTAACAAAGTAGCTAGACTACATAAAGAAGTCTCAAAGCTCAATAGCTAAAAAGCAAACAATCAATTAAAACATAGGCAAAAGACATTAAAGAGACACTATTTTACCTAAGAAGATATACTGACACGAAATACGCACATGAAAAGATGTTCAACATCACTAGCCATTAGTAAACTACAAATTAAAATCATGAGATATCACTACACAAATTGAAATGGCTTAAATTTTAAAATAACAACATGAAATGATGGTAAGGATGCAAAGAAATGATCACTCATACAGTGCTGGTGAGAATGCAAAATGGTACAGATACTGTGGAAAATAGTTTGGCATTTTCTTAAAAAACAAATCAAGCAACCATCATATGACCCAATAATTGCATTCTTGGGCATTTATCCTAGAGGAACAAAGGCTTAAGTTCACACAAAAACCGTACATTGAATATTTAAGGCAACTCTATTTGTAATAGTCAGAAACTGGCTATTTCAGACACCCTTCAATGGACGGATAATGAAAATGTGGTACATCCATAACACGTATGGATGTATATTTAGCAATAAAAGGAACTAACAGACAACCCGAATCTCCAGAGAATTATGCTGAAGGAAAAAAGAAAGCCCAAAAAGTTACATATTGTTTAATTCCATTTATGTAACATTATATAACATTCCTTTTTTGGTAACAGCTGTATTGAGATATAATTCACATACCATACAATTTACTCATTTAAAGTGTACATTTCCGTGGTTTTTACTGTATTTACAGAGTTCTGCAATACTTAACATTCTTGAAACGACAAAATTACAGAAATACAGAACATGAGAACATTAGCGCGTGCCAAGGGCTAAGGAGGGGTGGGGCAGGATGTAGAGGAAAGTGGGTGTTGCTATTAAAGAGCTATGAGAAGGACCTTTGTGGTGATGGAAATGTTCTGTATATTTATCCATGTAGATATCTTGGTTGTATTTACAAGATACTACCACTAGGGGAAATTGGGTTAGGGTACATAGAATTTCTGTATTATTTCTTACAACTATATGTGAATCTACAATGATCTCAAAATTAAAAGTTTAACTTACCCATATATTATAATGCATATTCTCTTGATAAATACATGGTAAGTACTTACTACATAACAGATACTAGGAATATAACAAGGAACAAAAGTGACAAAAAACCCTACCCCAATGGGGCTTATAGCATTGTGTGCATGCATCTTGTGGCAGGTCTGTGTGTATATACTATATCCAAAAACATTTAACGAGTCATATTATACTGTGCTAAAAATAGCAAAAGTAGTTTATGAAAGTGAAGATTCTTCAAATAATCAAATTATTTTAACAATTCAAAAATACTATTGAGGGAGGGTATAGCTCAAGTGGTATAGTGTCATGTTTAGCATGCACAGGGTCTGGGGTTCAATCCCCAGTACCAGAGTAAGTGTTTACTTACTCTAACAGTAAGTAAACAAATAAACCTGGTTATCCTCCCGATCAAAATCCAAAAATACTAAACAGATTTTTGAAACAATGGAAGAAGAATGCCCTCTAAGAAATGCTGAGTCAACTAAATAAGATTGGTAAATTAATTAAGATTCAAAAGCACAATCATATATCTCAGTAGATTCCAGGTAGGTCTAATAATAGACAACTATTCTTCTAAAGATTCAACAAACTAAAAAAATGAACAGCATTATAAATTTAGATAAAAAGAATCAAATATGTCAAATCTGAATGTATAAGATACAATAATATATAAAACCAAAAAAACTGATAGGAAAATAATGTAAAATAAGCAATAAATTATAAAGGACTATTATTAAAACATAGTCATAGAAATGATTACAAACGTACCTAGAGCATACTCTTAATAGTAAAATTATAAATTAATATATAAAAGTTTAGTATGGAAAAATGCACACAGCCTTGTTGCAACTAAAGAAACAGATTTTAAAGTGACTTCTAGACACTATTATGAACTGTATTAAGCTAACAAAACACTGCTAAAAAAAAAAGCTGGCAAAAAAAGATGATGGAATACAAATATGCTTTTATAGTATTAATGTCATTGTGCAAGTTAGCCCAATTTTGTGGAAAGCAACGTGACACTTATATAAAAAGCTGTAATTATTTATTGAGCACTTAATATGTGCTAGGCAGGGTTCCAGAAACTACATTCATTATCTTGAATTCTTAATACATAAATGTTTTAAAAGTTCCTTTATTTTATAGATGAAGCAACTAAGGCTTAAAAAATAAATAAACCTTTGGGGGGGGGAGGGTAACAGCTCAATGGTAGAGCCCAAGCTGGGTTCTATCCCTGTATCTCCATTAAAAAATACATCTCTAAGAGGCTGAAGGCAAGATGCTTCTTACTTGAAAAACAAGGCCTTGTATGCTCCCTCTACCTCAGGGTCTTTGCCCAGAATGTTTCCTCTCCCCAAAATATTCTATGCACAAACACAGCCCTCCACAAATTAACACCTACCATCACTTAAATTTCAGCAACAATTTCATTTCCTCAGGAAAGGTCTTTGACTAATTAGCCATCCACCCACCAACCCACCATAGATCTGGTCCCCTTCTTATACTCTCTCTCTCTTTGAACCTATGAGTTTTTAAACTTTTTTAAAATTTTAATTTTTTTCACTCCATGACATGTTTTGTTTTGGGTTTTTTGAGGGGGAGAGGGGCAGTAACTGGATTGACTGATTGAGATACTGGGGATTGAACCCAAGACCTCATGCATGCTAAGCACACACTCTACCACTGAGCTACATCCTCCCCACTGAATCTATGAGTTTATAACTGCACACTTATCTGAGTGTTTATTTGAATTAAAATGTCTCTCACCAATGCCAGCTCTGATGGCAGAGAACATATCTAACTGGACATTACTGCATGCACAGCACTGTAACACAGAGCTGGACACCCAGTAGGCATTCATTAATATTTGTTAAAACAATGAATGCTAATTTACCTTAATCTAATCAAAAATCTTAACCCAAAGATATAATCCACAATCCTCAAATCAAAACCATGAGCACCTTCCATGTACAACACTTCAACAGAGCTATAATCCTCCTTATGACACAACTGACAAATGCCTTTGTATTCACCCTTTGACCCAGCAATTCCACTTGTGAGAATTTATCTTACAGGAAATACTCTGACATGTGAAATGGTATTTATACAAGTTTAACCATTGTGGCATTATTTGTAACAGCAAAAGATTAGAAACAACCTAAATGTTCATCAATATGAGACTGGTTAAATAAATACT